TAGAAATGAATCAGAACAGACCAGAAGACAACAGTGTGGAAGCAGGAAGTATGTGAGAAATTCTTCAGAACCTGGCATGCTGATACTGCCTCTCAGCTACAGCTGAAAGTGAAACCTTACAAATCACTCTCTGATGAGAGCAACGATGAGCAGCTATTACAGACACTTGTCTTTTGTTGCAAATGATGCATTTGTACAAGAACCTCTAACACAGTCGTGTTTATATTGAGTTTCAGTAACATCTCTTACCAATATCATATTTACTCAGTTCTCCTTGAACTGGTGCTTGTGTACTGACATTTCCCACATCATCTGTGCCAAGGAAAGATCTCTCTCTAGAAGCTCCACTCCCAAACAGGCTTTCAAACAACGTAAATAAACCACTTTTGTTTGCAAAAGATTCCACAATCTCTTTCAAAAAGTCTTCCTTGCCGTGGCTTAAGTTCAGCAACATGTGACCTAGGAAACACAATGTCACAGAAGAACACTCAACAATATTTGATGCAGTGGGCTGCTTTTGCTACCTGAGGCTGGGAAGCAAGATTTCCCCTTATGATATTTACAGATTTCTAAGTTACACTCTCCCTATAATTAAGCCAGTGTTTTACTATATGGGCTGACAGCAGTCCCAAAGCATTTTAAAATCCAGTTTGCCAAAATTACTATGTACTTTTATTATAATGAGCACTACAGTGGTCTTCAAAATAAGTAGCTGTCAATCTCATCTATTCAGGATGAATTCAGCCTGATGCCTGGTGTTTTCTTTGTTTTCATCTAGGGCACAAAAGACAGCAAAGACTGAAAAAGACTGCCTCTGCTTTAAAAACAAAACAAAACAGCAAACCTGTTGCAACAAAGAAGGGAACAAAAGTGACAGAGAAAGAGCAATATTTTCTTTTGTACTTGGGACCAGCAGTGCTTGCAAATAGAGACATTAAAAGTTAAATTCTATCTTAATGTCCTGGAGATAAAAAGTCCATTACACGTCAGGATTAAGCTGCTGTTTTGCTTTTCATACGTAGCCAAAATATACAAAGTTTTATAGCATATTTCAAGACACCATACGTGTTCTTTAACAAGACTTTAACTCTGACATCAACTACTCATAAAACTAAAATGGAACTATGCAACATTTGTAATTATTAATTTTTATTACCAGACTGGCTCTTTCGGTCACAGGCCAACATTTCCAGCATGTCTTGCCCTGCAGGACCTCCTTTTATTAGTTTGGACTTTGGTTTAGGTACCTGTGGAAGAAAGAATTGTTACAGCTTCTTCACAACAGAAAGGAAATCACTTCAGTTAGTCTTAGAAGTTACAAAACAAGGTTGTTTCTTTCCTGAACAAGACACTAGGTGAGTCAACCAACTGCAAACACCTTCAAGAGCACACAAGCTTGATCCAGCTCTGCTGTCTACGCAGTAAGTGTGTGAGAGCTACTCAGGTTATCCCCCTCTCTCCCACACCAATAACCCTGATATCAGTTATTTTAGCTGCTTACAGAAAAGGGCATACCCTGCAGGAAATACACTCATAAGAGTCATTTTACTTCTGACAAGTGAAACAGTTGAAGAGACACCTTCTGCACATCAGTTGAAATCTTTTAAAGAATTGTGGAAGAGGAAGATTTGGTGAGGAGACAGCCTTAAAAACAGCAGTTCATCTTTGGAATACAGGTGTTCAATGCATGTACAGCGAGAGCGTTCAAGAACCGCAACAACTACAAGCACAAACTGAACAGTGACTTACATAGAAACTTTTCAGATAACACAATGCTGCAAGTTCACATGCATCTCTCCACTGCGCCTCACTGTTCTGGGCCATTTTCAGTAGGAAAGTTCCTGCATGCATGTAGAAGTGTCCTTTCATCTCAAGGAAGGTACGAGACAGCTCATCAGGTCCATTCACATATGGTTTCACAGAGTGAAGCACACGGTCAAAACTAGAACGGAGACAAAATTCATTTTCAACAAAACCCTGATAAAATCTATCGTGTGCTTCAGGCCAGTGTTATTTAGCCATGAATGGAGTGACTTGATAATTCAACTGCTACTGCCATCTCTGTAGCTTAAACCGGAGTTGCACAAGAGCAGGACAACAGTCTTGAGCTCCTAGAGCTCTGAACACTGTTTATTGAAGTGAAATCAATAGCAGTCAGTACAAAAGAGAAAGTATGGAAATAAAGGAACACAAATCTTAATTTAACTGGCTACAAACATTGTTTCGTACTATTCCAGCTGTGGCACACATGACCCAGTCTGAAGTCAGCTGGATTAGCTGACCCTATCAGTTTTCCCTCAAGGAGAATGCAGGTGGCTTCCTATCTCCCATTTATACTAGACATGGGAAACTGTTCGTTGTTTCAGTATGCGTTGTATTGACTTGACCAGGACAAAGCTGACCCACAAGGGCCTGTGAAATGTAAACCAGCTGAAGTCAAGAACAACACTCTCATGCTGCAGTGAAAAAAGATAACTGGCACAGGCTATCACTGAGTTGTCTCTAAGGCTTGTAGCTCAGGCAGACACACAGCTTGGAGATCAAGCCTAGTAACATTTTTTTCTTTGTGGCTACTACAGAGGAACTCCCCTCCAATTCACAAAATGGCTACTCAGTGAAAATTATGTCTGCTGGATGTTCTGTGACCCAGAAAACAAATACTCAATTGTTCTTCTTTTTAAAAAAACAGAAAAGTTAAAACGATACCTTTCAAGTGCCTCTCTGCTTTCTCGAACATCTCTGGAAGCAAGTGTCATTTTAACAAAGCTAGCATAGGCCAGCAGATGATCTTTCTTGATAGCTCTCCAATTATTCTTATCAGATTCCAAGTCTCGAACTGATTCAAGGTATTCCTAAAGAATAAAGTTCATCAGAGAATAAGGAACCACCCTCCTCCTAGGAAGGCAAGAGCTTCTCCAGAACACGTTGCTCCATAATCCAGTTTCCCAGGTGAGACATTAACATACTCTTCAGCAGCAAAAGTCCACAAACGGTTTGCCTGAGCAATTTCCTCCCTGACAGAGCTGCTGTATCTAACTTAGTACTTCAGCTAGAAACTAAACAATTCCATAAGATTTAAGAAAATCCCAAGTAAATCACTGGGTCTGGCAAACATCACAGTTGAAGGAATTAAGTCACTTGAGCATTAGCTGCCACTGTAACGTTACTAAGAGAATAACACCAGTTTCAAGGGTATGGGAGATGATGGCAGGATCAAAATATGATTCAATACCTCAAATGTCTTTATGACACATGAACACCATTCCAAGCTTGAGTCTACTGGTATTTTCTTCTCTGCCTCCTGACAATGAAGCACAGCATCTCTTAACCTATTATTTGAACGGTAGAGAGCAACCAGTCTGATGTTCAGGTAGGTATCATCTGGTCTCGCATAGAGTTCTGTCTGAATCATATCAAAGAGCTGATTCCATCCATCTTCACCTTTATGTTCCAGTAACTGCTCCTATTAAATACAAAGGCAACATGGTCACATTTCATTCTCCACGAGAGCCTTTTCAGCAGCTACATCACCTGTTTCCTCACTGCCACTACAGACTACATTACTCAAACTACTCTGAAAAGCTGTTGGGGCCTAGAGTGTTTTACAACATTTTAGAAGTGGAAAAAAAAAACCAAACCACTTTAGAGTTTGCATCACATAGATGCTAAGTAAGATGCTAAGTTAAGATCATCAAATCATTTGGTTCAAAGATGGCACACCTTGATACAGAACAGGCTAAAAAAAAAAAATACAAAACACAAAAAACCCAGCAAACACCACACACAAAACCCCAAAGCACAAGCCTCCCAAGACTTCCATTTCATTGCTGTTGCACTACAGAAAACTAATGCCTGCACAAAAGTGAGATAGTATGACTGAAAGCATTTACACAGTATTTGGGAATAACAGCATCTCCTACATTCTACAGCTTTTAATTCAAATAAAAAAAACCTAGAAAGCAGTGTAGTCACATAATAGAGGCAATATTAATCTAATCTTGACTTCTTGGATACTATTACTAACATGTTTTTCCCATCAGTTACAGAAACTGCAGTTTCTACTAGGCACAGAACAGAGATTAGGAGTTGGAATTTACCTTCAGTCTGTAAGCAGCAGGACTCCCAGGGAAGAGCCTGGCAGCTTTCTCAACCCAGTACTTGGCTCTTCCATCAGTGATGTTGTTCCTACACAGCAACTCTGCAATCTTCAGCACAAGATCTTTCTGCCTTGGATTCAGCACCACAGAACGCTGGGTTTCCCATGCACAAACACAAGAAAAAAGGTTACTGGTAACTTGATCTTGCAGTCCATATAGAACAAGAAAGAAAATATGCCCCCAATAAACAGACCCAGCAAGTCAAGTTAGAACTATCAGTAAGTATTTTCTCACTACTTTCAGAAAAGTCTCCTTTTTGAAAGGCCACCCTTGGTTTCTAACACCCAGACAACTGCTGGAATCCAGAACACCACAAGAGAAATAATGCCAAAACAGCTCTTCTGCCTCTACCACCAGCTGCTGCTCTACTCAGACCACTGCACGAGGAGTATCTCTAGTCTAACCTAATGTGGAGGCTTCTGAAAATCAGAATTAAGTCAGAAAGACTGACAGTACTCCACTGAGTGGCAACCAGACTTTTGTGCATATCCTCTCCCTCCCCAAAGCCCAAATAATGAAACGTTGACTGGATTTCACATTGACACACTTGCCTAATCAAAACTGTGTTTGCCCTGTTCCCTCTACCTCTGAGGAAACAAACAAACAGAAAGCCCACCACCAACAAAAAGCAAACTGTGCAACTGAGAAACACTCTCAGTCCAGGCTTTCAGTAGCAGCTGCATTACTGCTGTTACCATAATCCCTACTACAGAATTCTACAGGGGTCACAGATTCTTCGTCCAGGGGGAAGAAAATCAGAGCAGGCAGCACAAAGATCAAGTCCATTTCAGATGGAATAAAGCAGGACATCAGGGAGGTGAGGGAAGTGCTTACCTTGTAACACCCAAAAGCTTTTTCTATGTTATCCTGAGCTTCATAAATCTGTCCCAGAAACCTGTGAGCTTTGGGATCTCTCTCTTGGACACTGAGATAAGTAGAAATGTATCTACAGAGTAAATAAAAAAACAAAAAACAAAACAGAAGGATCAGTACTGCTCAGTAATACAAGACCCCCCACAGCCTGCAGCTAATGTGGGAATGTAATCTGTCATACAGGACATCCAGCCATATTTAGTTCTAGGTGCTTGATCTAGACCTTCAAGTAAGGAACAACATTGTTTCTACATGTACAGATTCTACCTATTTGCCTGCAAGTACTGGCCTTCATTAAATAAAGCAGTAGTTCACAGAAACTGCACGAAGGCCGGAACACAGTGGCATAAAAGACATTCCAGCCAGGTGAGTTCTTACAGCACACTATGACTGCCCATCCTTCAGGCTGCTCTTTTAGGCAGATTTAAACGGCATCCAATTCTCCCATTCACTGCTACCTCAGAACAGCATGAGAATGGTCTTGATTTCTCTGCTCCACTTCACTTAGCTTTTCTATCACATGTTAAAGAACAGAACAACATACGTAACATTTATTACCTTTTAGCAAGTTCATATTCTTTTATCTCAAAATACAGCTTAGCAAAAAGGAATCCTTTCAACGATCTCTGAAGGAAAGAAAACAGGACAGGTACATTTTAGATATACAGTACTGCTGAAGTAATTGAACAGGGAGACCTTTCTTTTCAGGGATGCATCATATTTCTAACAGTTTCTTCATAGTTACCAGCTCCAGTTCACTCCTCCTATTCAGGGCTTTGTTTGTGAAAGATACAGGATTAAGAAAATAATGTTTTTTCCCAATAACTGGCAAAGGCTTCTACCAAAGCAAAACTGGGGTTACTGGCATTTCATAAACACTTCTGACTAAACAGAGAAGAAGAATGGGGCCAGCTACAGATCAGCTTTTTTTCTTGCAATGTATCTACGTTGCAGAAGAAAACAGATGCCACAAATTAAGAGTCCAGCTCCTCCTGTTCATGCTTCTGTCACCTTCATCTCTTGCCTGTCCTCTTTTTTTTTTTTTTTTTTTTATATATATAATCTTCACTTTTATTTCCTTGTTCTGCCCTTCAGTCAATACCTGTGCAGAGGTATGTTTCACCTTTCACACACAGAGTCCTCGAGTTCAAGTTCACTTGGACTGATAACATCAGCACTAAATTACTGCACTGAAGAAACATCTTTTTTTTTACCTGTGTGAATGAGCTCGAGAACTAGGAAGTCATGAGCAAAAACTTCATGGTAAACATGAACCAGGAGACAAACCTAAAACCTGGGGTCCACGTATCACTGCCACAGTAGCCTCTGTTTGAGAATCAGGAATACTGGAACTAGTTACACCTAGGACTCCAGATGTGAAACAAACTTCTACAATCTAAAGACACTTGAATTTAGTCTCCTATCCCCTTCCTACCCCCAGGTTACTCCTGAAAAATTTTTACATGTGGATCTCCTACTTTTCAGACTGTATTTTGAAGTAAAACATGGATACACTGACATGCACAGAGTGCAATCATGCGAGACATCTCCTTGGAAACAGGGTTGGAAAGAAACTTCAAAATAAATGCTTACAGCCTCGTACAACCCTCCTCTCCAAAATCAACACCCCAGAAAAACCAGTAACTACTCCCATCAATGACTGTGCTATACAGCCAGTTACAAGCATCACTGAAAAGATGAAACCAAACCCGCAGCACTTGGCCTTGAGCACTACTAAAGGAGAGGCAATATCTTTTCGTTGAGCTCCACAAGAATACCAACACTGTTGAAGATTATCTCCAAATTTAGCAGCGATACATTCAACACTGTGCAGCCTAAACAGCATCAAAATCAACCGAACAAAGTGAAGGGACAACTCCACTGCTGTTGAAGAAGATCAAAATGAGGACTCATGCAGGCCTTACACTCACATCAAGGCCCTGCTGCATCACAGTGTGCATTCACATTACACAACTGCTGAATATTCCACGTCTGCAATAAAACCAATTCAAAGCAGCAGAGCGGGACCTTTCCGGATGAAACTGCTCCTATGAACCTCATCAGTCAGCTCACCGTGACCTGCACACCATTTTCCAGCTATCAGGGAATCATCTGGCTGCCCAGTTACTAACGCACAGCAGCAAAGCTATTTCCCCCACCACTCCCTCTCTTATTACTGACGTTTCAGAACGTTGTCACACAGATGAGAATAACAGCCACACAACACACCAAAGAAATTCAGAAGCTTAACAGTATTCCCTATTCCCTATTTGGGTTCCTCAAGAGAGGGAAGGCTGGAAGCTCAGGAACTCTCGCAAGACCTCATTGTGGCTTTCCAGTACTTGAAGGGAGCATATAAACAGGAGGGGGAATAGATAGTGATAGGACAAGGGGGAATGGTTTTAAGCGGAGACAGGGGAGATTTAGGTTCGATATTAGGAAGAAGTTTTTCCACACAGAAGGTGGTGACGCATTGGAACAGGTTGCCCATGGAGACTGTGGAGGCCCCATCCCTGGAGGCATTCAAGGCCAGGCTCCATGTGGCTCTGGGCAGCCTGGTCTGGTGGCTGGCGATCCTGCACATAGCACGGGGTTGAAACTAGATGATCATGGTGGCCCTTTCCAACCCACGCCATTCTATTCCCACAGAACAGGATGGATCCGTATTTCACCACGCCGCTGCGCTCTTTCGGAAGTTACCGAGGGCTCACCAGTTTTAAGAGGCGCGCAGCGGTAGCAAACCACGCTGCCAAGGAAGTATATCCGCGGCCTCCCTCCCAGCAGCTTCCCTCGGCTTCGACTCCCCACCCACACGACTCCACGAGCCCCTCAGCAAGCTCTGACTCACCAGCGCTCCCGGCAGCGGGAACGCCACGACCCCCCCGCGCCGTACCCGAGGGATGAGGCCGCAAAGCGCCGCTCGGCCGGGCAGCCCAGAGCCTTTCCCGCGCACCGGGCCCGCCGGCCCCCGACGGCCATCCCGGGCCCCGGCAAAGCCCGCAACCACCCCTCGGGCCCGGCACCCGCGGGAGGAGCGGAAGGACGGGGCGGGCGAGGAGCGGACCACACCGCGGCCCCGGGCAGGCCGCGGGAGCGCCGCCGGCGGTGCCGGCCGGGCCCCAAGCACTCACCTCTCTAGGAGAGGAGGCGGCGGCCTGCACGGAGGCGACGTATCTCTCCACCTCGGGCTTCGTGCGTCGTAGCATGGCGCCGAGCCCGGCCGTCCGGCCGGCACTCGTCGTCGGGAACCGCGCCGAGCCTCACCAGGAGAAAGAGCAAGCGGCGGAAGGCCGGCACTCGTACGCTACGCAAGTTCCCGCTCCACACACGCCGCAACGCCCTCCGCTGCCGATCGCGGCGACGCCCGACGTCACAGTCTCGGCGTGGGGCGGCGCACGCGCCGAACGCGCGCACGCGCAGTGTGAGCGGCTGGTGCGCGGTTGGTTGTCGCGGCGGCGGGAATCTGAGTTGCGGAGCGTTACGCCGCTCGGCGCGGGCTTCCGCTCGGCGCGCCGCCGGTGCCGCCCTCAGCCTGTCCGCCCTCGAGCGGTCTTAGGAAACTGCGCCGTGTGAGGCCGTGCTGAGGTGTTTTCCTCACCTGTAAGGACGTGCTGCGTCACCGCGAATGTCAGCGTCACCCGCCAGCCATCGATCAGGCTTTATTGTTCGGATTCACAGACGACGAGTTTTGAGCTGTGGGTTCCAGGCACCGCGAGTAGCAGAAATACTTGGTTTCTGTCCGAAGCAGCTTGTAAGATGGCGAGATGCGCCAACCCAGGAGACGGGGCTTAAAAAGCGATGTTCTGAGTTTTGTGGTTCTGAGCACCGGCGCCGCCCCGTGCTTTAGTTCCTGCCAGGGAGTCCTGGCTGCTGCTCACTGGAGGCGCTGATCTCTTTTTCTGCCGGTTCTAAGCAAAGTGGGGCCACCAAGCTGCAAGTTAGTGAAGTCTCATTCATGGGGAGAGAATCACAAATGCACCCCGCCCACCATTGCTAAGCCCTAAGGCTGCTGCTGTACCCAAGAAACACTGACTACCTTGATAGGAACTGAGCACAGGGCTTGCAGCTGCCAGAGGCAGAAAGGCTTTAGGCGCAGGTCCTTCCTCCTGCAGGTACCTCCCCTGGGCTTTCTAAAGTGCTCTTAGAGTGCCAGTATTATGGGATAATTGCAGTACATAGATTTTCATTAAAGTTGATGTGTTATGAAATCTGTGCATTGTTCTGCCTTAATCTAGCTGGGGGTATTCATCAATCTGGTCACCTTTTCCCTCCTCTTATGGTGGGATGTGGCAGTGCCACATCTACAGTTGTTGAACATCTCCAGGAACAGTGACTGCATCTCCTCCCTGGCAGCCTGTGCCACTGCTTCACCACTGTTGCTGAGGATGAATTTTTAATAATATCCAATCTGAACCTCCCGTGGTGCAACTTGAGGCCATTCCCTCTCATCCTATCTCTGGGAGGCCAATCCTTACCTCGCCACAACCTCCTTTCGGTTCATCACCTTATCAGGAGAGTGATAAGGTCTCTCCTGAGCATCCTCTTTTCCAGACTGAACAACCCCAGTTCCCTCAGCTGCTCCCTGTAAAACTTGTGCTCCAGACTCTTCACAGCTTCGTTGTCTTTCTCTGAGCACACTGCAGGGTCTTTCTTGTCATAAAATCAGCCTCAAAGCACGTACATCTATGTGAAGTATTTACAGTACTGACAGGCCAGGAAGTGAACTTCAGCACCAGACCTGTAATTGTCCAGGCTGCCTAATTGCTAGCTCACTCCCTGGCTCTGTTTTGCACTTCTTTTAATTAATGCTCTTGATGACAATATCCATGGTTATTACTTCAATGACAGTTTACTCCAAAGACAGCTGCTGAGTGAGCAGTGTGAATTTGAGCAACATTCCACTGGGAAAACAAGAATACAGAAAAAAAACTTCATCATGAAGGTCATTAAATACTGGAACTGTTGCCCACAGAGGCCTGTGAAATCACCTCTTCCTTGGAGATGCTCAGAACTTGGCTAGGTAAAACTTTTAGTACTGATGAAGCTTTGAAAGTCGCACTTGCCTGGAGCAGATGTTTGGACTACCTGACAGTCCCTTCCTTCTGAAATCTTTATGGGATGCAACAGGCTTTGAAGCCCCAAGACAGCCTTGATGCTATTTGTGGGGTCTGAAACAGACACCTGTGTTAATGGCACAGAAACCACTGCCTTGCTGCTACTGCACATCGTGTTCACTATCAGTAACTTGAAGAAACAGCAGAAAACATTGGGCTAGGGCCCCAGGACTGCCACAGAGCCCAGGGGAGACTGATGGCTACACACTGTGAGTGAGGTGTGGATGTAACCTTGCGAGGCAGAGCTTACTGTGCAGCCTCAAGTTAGGGATTGTTCCCAGCTCCCTCAGCAGTAAGGCTGTGCATATGGTCAGCATAATGTGGAAAAGCAAAACAAAACAAACACACTTGAACTGAGTTACAGTGTAAAGGAATCATTGTTGAGTATTGATGGGCTGAATCCATGTCACAGTCCAAAATCTCAACAGTGTTACTATTACGCTTGTTACATACATTTTTTGGGGGGGGAATTTTCAGTCATGAACACAGCAATGACTGCATTCTGCTACTGAACTGTTATTGCATGGGATAACTGTATATAACCACGAAGTAAAAAATACCCTACCTAGCACTAAATGGCAAGTCTGGGATGAAAGTTACACTACAGTGAAAAGAGTAGAGAGCAAAATCTGGGAGGAAGATGTGCTTTTGAACTTCCTTTCTTTCAGAAAACCTGGTGACAGTGCCAATCAGAAAACATCCAGAAGAATCCAGCTGTTGGTTATGAAACAAATGATAATTTATTTTTTAAACCTAAAAACTAAAGTGCGTTTCTAGGACAGGCAGATGTCTCCTCTAAGTCAGGACAGTAAAAGAGTTTTACACAGATAGCCACAGGTAGAAGCATAGTGAAGGAAGGCTGCCTAGATGCTTTTCCACCCATCTCCAGTACTCACATAAAAGAGGTGATACAGGTTTTAATAACATTAGCCTTTATTGATGACACTGGAAAGATGTTTTAAAGCATTTGTTTTTCCATAAGCAGGAAAGAAAATTTTGCTTGCTATGAAGTAATGATATAAAAATTGTGTTTCTAATATGAAAAAAAAAAAAAAAAGTTTGCATACTTGATAACAGTACCATCAAGAATTCCTAAGTAATGGTATTTTTGACAGAAAAGGGAAGAGCAAACTTTCATGGACAGAAGTCAATAGTATAAAGCAAGCACAAGCACACTGCAGTGAATTCTGACGATTTGTGAGCACAGTTCTTGAAGATGGCTGAAGAAACAGATCCCAGTAGGATCAAACTTCACATATTTACACTCACAGTGTAAAAGTAATATTGCCAGTTAACTCAAATACGCATTTTCATTGCTGTTCCAGAAGTCAGGGAAGCCTAGAAGCTAAACTTCAACCTCAGGTGTTCACACCCGAAGCAAAGTTCCTCTTGCATCCTGGATAATTAAGGCAAATTCTGTTATCTTTTGAAAATACCTCATACAGAGTTTCTGCACAAAAATAAGGAATAAAAATAAAACTATAGACATATATTGAATGGAACACTGTTACATATGGCCCGGCAGAATAAGGCACCAAAAGTAAATCAAAGGCAAGAGCTTATATAAAAGTGACTGTGTTATTCTGAATGGAATACAGCAAAATTCAAGTAGATCTGAGTATACTTGTTTCTTGCAGTGGGAATTAGACTTCATACAGACATTTCATGCTAAGGCTGAAGTACAGAGATTCAGCGTGTAAGTACAAACTATCGAAGCAGGTCATTTGTACAGTGACTGTGTTTAGAAATGCACTACTTTTCAAACCACCTTCAACAAGGCTCCTCAGTGGGACTATTGGACCTGAAATCTAAGCATTATTTTTCCGGGAAATGAGGTCTGTTTGGTTTCTTGCCCAGGCCACGGGGAATTTTGTATGCATGCTTCATCTGCATGCTGATATTTTCATTACTATAAATGACACTGCATGCCCATAACGTTGGGCCTGTTTGCACAATGTGCTTTTGCAGGTACTCACAAGCATATTTTCTCAATCTAAAATTCCTCAGAGATTACTGTGCTCAATGGCCCTCTTGTATGGGTGCATTATCAGGGTCAGAAACCTCTCAGGTGAGTTGACAGAAGCGTGATCTGTTTATCAACAAATCTGTATTTGTACGTGTACTCACAGAGAGAATGGAGAATTTCAAGATGAAAGGCACGCACTGTAATCTGTTGTCTGATTACAGCCTCAGAGTCCCTCCCAAGTAACAGATACAACATTTTCATAAGGAAAGGGGAGAGCACAAGAAGTCTTCACTTCCTTCCCACAGTTTCAGCTAATTTCTTCAGTCTTTTCTTCAGCTCTAGAGGAAACTTCTCATAGCACTTTTTGCAGACAGGCTTCATATCAAACTCCACAAATTTATTTCTAAAATGACATAGCAAGAAAACAAAGTCTTAGTGGAAGGGATCCTGAAGAAAATAAAGGGTGTATTAAATGCATGCAGACAAAAAAATGCAACTGCACTTTATACACATGTATGAAATTACTTTCAGAAGCTCATATACATTGCAGACCGTGACTGAAATACTCTGAGTGAGTGATGCCCCATTTATAACTGTGTCTCTGAAAAAATCTTTCAAACTCAGCTGTATTGCTAAGCAAACAGAGCTTAAAAGAATAACATAACAGTATTTCAAGTTGCAGTTTGGTGAAAAATATTTGGCTGTGAGCCATGAACGCATGCAAAAACGTTAAGTAAAAGCATCTGTAGCACTGACCAAAGAAGAAAGGAGCACAGGTGGTGGTGAGAAGAAAAACAGTTTACAAACAGATGGGCTTTTTCTTTTTCTGCTTCTCTTTCTCCTTCGCTTCACGTTCCCGTTTGGCAAGGCGTCGCTTAAATTCATCTGGCATTTTCTCATAGCAGTGTTTGCAGACAGGTTTTAGATCAATTTCAACAAACTTATCTCTTCAGAGTGAAAGGCGGAAAAAATGAAGGACGAAAAAGGAGAAGAATTAAGAAGACTGAACTGAAGGAAGAACGGAACAGGCAGCTGAAAGAGATGTAAATCAGTAAATAGAGCAAGAAGAAGGCACAGGCACATTGTCTCAGTGTTGTTCAGACGGCTTTTGTACTGTAACAGTTAAACCTACAGCAACATCCATTATTTTAAAGAGAACCACTGACATGTTTTGAAGGCATCACACCTATCGACTGACTTACTTGAGCGTTAACTTAGTGTTGCAGGTTGAACAAGCAAAACAGTTCACACACCATGCCTTATTCAG